ACCGTTGCAACGAAGCTAAGTCCCATTGTCATTTAGCAGCTTATATGTAGTTGTCATCATACAACCCTATAATCCAGAACTTAACAAGAATCAACAACGAAATGTTATGTCATTTTTACCTTGTGGACGTTTTGGTACGGTGTGGCTGCGTGACAAGTCGCCCCTGATCTCCGCCATCTTGACATTGTTATTGTTTTATTTTATTTTATTGTTTAATATAATGTTTTCTCTCCTGACACCACCAGATGGCAGTGTAAGTGTCCCCAGTTACACAGAATTAAGTATTATGCCCCACACACGCAAAAATGTGATGTTCACGAATGTGGACACCAGGTCGTAGGAGGTTAAAAAAAATTGCTGCAATATATCGCAACATGTATTGTATCGTGATATATCGCATCGTGACCCATGTATCATGATGCGTATCGTGTCGGGATTAGGGTTAGGTATCGTTTGAATTTGAACGATTCTGATTCCGATTCCTTGTTTCGATTCCGGTTCCTAACGATTCTCGATTCCGATTCTTTTAAGAGGCAGGGTCAAAAAAGTTTAGCTAACCTTGCTAACCAACGGCCTTTCTGAAGGAAATACTCCTTCTGTAAAAATACTCCTTTTGTCACAAATTTTGCATTTTGCCGAGATTTCGTTATTTTTAGAAAAGTGAAGCCACACTTTGGATCGCCGACGTAAGCTACTCATGTTCGACTCGCGTGGTTATGCCAACACTTCCGGTAGACGCTTCTTCGTTGGTGTTGTTCAGCGGTTTCTTCTTCCGCTCGGCGGACTGTGAATATCGAAACTAGGAATCGAAATTTTAACTTTTGAACGATTCTGGGAAAAACGAAAAGTTAGTCTCGGTTCCAATCGATACTCGATTCTCGATACCCAACCCTAGTCGGGATGCCCTTGCCCTACATTACCCAGCCCTACTGTTTACGGTCAGGGACAGCGGAGGGAAGGCTTTTAAGAGATTTTACTTCATGAAAGTTGCGTAGATACAAATTTTTTTGGCTTTAATTATTATTTTTTGTGTGGTAATCGTTTTATAAAAGCAATAAGGTAGTCGGGGCTAGTGCTGTATTGTGAATAAGTGACGGCTGAAGGGGTTACTCCGCTTCACGTTGTGCGTAACAACACCCTTCAGCCGTGACTTGTTCACGCTCGTACCTTATTGCGTACCAATTACATCAGGGTTCACTTTCATGCCATTTGAATTGTATTTATCGATCACTTTTGATTATTTTGATGTACTGAGAATTCAATTTAATATTTTTTTCTTTCCTGTCAGACCTGATTGCAGAGAGCGAGGCGAGTGAAAAACTGAGTGAAGTGGAGGAGGAACATCATGTCCAACCTGGAGGAAAACACTTGAGTCGCTCAAAGACTAAACAGACATTTTTAAAGAAAAGAACCAAGAAATCTTTCACCTGCACTCAGTGTGGGAAGAGTTTTACAACCAAACAACATATAGATGTTCACATGATGATCCACACTGGAGAAAAGCCGCATGTATGCGATCAATGTGGGAAGAGTTTCATACAGTCCGTTCAGATTCAATTACACATGATGATCCACACTGGAGAGAAGCCGTTCTCATGTGATCAGTGCAGGAAGAGTTTCACAAACAAACAAAGTCTTTCTCATCACATGATGATCCACACCGGAGAGAAGACGTTCTCATGTGATCAGTGCAGCAAAACATTTCTTAGGGCATTAAACCTAAAGAAACACCTGAGAGTTCATACGAAGGAGAAGCCGTATTCATGTTCTGTGTGTGGAAAGAGTTTTTCACTGCTGCAATATTTACGTGGACATGAGAAAACTCACACTGGTGTGAGAGAGTACATGTGCTTTGAATGTGGGAAGACTTTTACTACAGAAAACAGTTTAAAACGGCACCAGATGATCCACACTGGAGAAAAACCTTACAAGTGTTCACACTGCGACAAGACATTCATTCACTCATCATCTCTGAAAACACATGAGAAGATCCACACTGGAGAAAAACCGCACACGTGTGATCAGTGCGGGAAGAGTTTCTCTATTAAATCTTACCTGAAGCAACACATGAAGGTCCATGTAGTGTATAAACCACTGAAACACAGTCTGAAATCACGCTAAGATGATTTTCATGTGATGAGCAACAAAGTCTCTTCTGTGTAAGTTAGCCACACATCACCCGCCACATCTCTCCTCACTCAGGACATTTTGTTGATTTATATTTTTAACTTGTTTTCACCGACAGGAATCTGTTATTTGTCAATTCAGATGCAAAATACAAAATTGTTGCACAATAGGTGGCGCACATTTAAAAGCAGAAATACAGCACTATAGGGTTCTAGACTGCGGGTAAACGGAAATTCATTATAATCCATTATAAAGCTTGTAAGAGCAAGGATTGTTTTTATAACTCACTATTCGTCTTAAAGAAGAATGTCATATACACCTAGGATGACTTGAGGGGGAGTAAATCATTGACACTGACTTGGATGCCAGGAGAAACATTTGTCAGTCCCTCCAGGATTTCACGATTTTTTTTTGTGATTTTTGCGATCAAAAAGACTGATTTTGTGGTGGTAATTTCCAAAAATTTGTGAAAAAATTTGCGATTTATATATAACATTTACCATAGTAGTATTCAGTCCTTCCAGAAAAACGCAGTTTTTTTGTGATTGTTGCGGGCTAAAAAATTGATTCTTTAAAAATGCGATGGAATATGAGGGATATTTATGCAATTTTATGCGATGAAATTGCAGGAATTTGTAAAAATTGAGCGAACTTGCAAAAATTGCGGTTTGATGAAAAAGAGAAAAAAGTTATTCTTATTACTGCCTTTGATAAGCAAGCATACTACGTCATAGAAAGTGCTGGGAATATTTAATTTCTCATCTTGTTTTATTTCAGACTGTAACGAGTGTAAATAAGGTGTCCCCTTTAAGAGCTGCGCGCTCCCTGTTGAAGTGTTATATGTGCACCTCGAACACCCCATGTGTGCGGGTAATTTCTGTTTGATGCAACTTGTTTCATCTTAGTAACGATGTACGTCGATGGTAGAACGTGTGACAGACAGTTATACGAGTTCAATTTGTGAGATGTCAATCGCCGCCGTGAGTCTGTCTGGCGTCACGTAATTGCGTCACTTCATAACGTTCCCATGGAAACAGGGGGAAATGGCTGCTCTTGTGTGAAGCAAACCCAACATTTTTCAACTTTCTGCTAAGATACATGTGACTTTTTTGCAACGAAAATGCGAGGATTATGAAATTATGCAAACCCCGCATATTTTGCACGGAAATCGGCAATTTATGCAGCGAAAGTGCGGCGTATTGGAAAAAATATGCAGACTTTGGTTGATTTTGCATTGAATTCAGCGATCGCATAATCGCGTTTTTCTGGAGGGACTGCCTTGAACGAACAAGTTCATGACATTTTAAGTTATAAGGCTTTTTAGTCCACAAATCACAAATATTCCCTATGGATTTAAGGTAATAATGCTAACTGTAACCATGGTATTGTGGCAGAAATAGATTGTTGAGTAAAATCCTATCGTAAATCAAGGACTTATAAGTCCTTCACACTTTTCACTTTAAATCTCTAAATATGATCCAGTTGTAATGTTATTTTTTATATGATGACCAAAACCATGATTTGTTCATCCTTCAAAGACTGTCCCCATTAGTAAAACTAAAAGCGTCAAAGTGTAAGAAAAGTTATACTTGGCAAAACAACATATTTACTTAAAGGAGAACTCCAGTGCTAAATTAACCTTTGGTCTAATAAAACATCGGTACCTAGCCAACCGTTCTCTGAGATTTTTTTTTCATGATAATCGAATGTAAAGAGTTTTATCTCTAAAAACTGTTTCGCGTATAATGCTAGTAATGGGGGCATTGAGTAAGTAAAAAGAAACCGCTGGTTTATACCACTAACAAGGCTCAAAATAGCCCCACACTAACACAGTAACATAATGAGGGTCCATACATACAAAACGAAGCATTGAGAACTTTGTAAGTGTACAGACCGTTTAATAAGAAGATACTTTATAAAGACAGTTCACTTCGAGGATACAGACAGGAGCCATCTTAGGAAATAGTCTCGATAAGTCAAACCACGAACGCCGTTCATACAGTTCAGCTCACTCAGCACGTCGTTCGTGGTTTGACTTATCGAGACTATTTTCTAAGATACACGAAGTGAACTGTCTTTATAAAGTATCTTCTTATTAAATGGTCTGTACACTTACAAAGTTCTCAATGTAAGTAAAATGTAGCCTAACTAAATT